CTACTACTACTACTACTACTACTACTACTAATAATAATAATAATAATAATAATAATAATAATAATAATAATAATAATATCCATAGAATCATAGAATTGTGGAGTTGGACGTGGCCCACAAGGCTATCAGGTCCAACCCCCTGCTCAATGCAGAGATCCAAATCAAAGTAGATCTGACAGATGGTTGTCTAATTGTCTTTTGAATGCCTCCAGCATTGGACAGCTCACCACTTCCCAAGGCAATTGGTCTCATTGATGTACAAGCTAAAAACATGCTTGTACAGGAGACGTTTCCTGGCCCTTCCTCCCTACTAAAGTCCTTTGTATCTCTCTCCAAAGTCCTGCAAAAACTAGTAAAGACCATGGCTTGCCTCTTACAGAGCTGGAAAGGAGGAAAGGGGGACTGATCAAATTGGGAATCTTTTATCAAAAAGTGTTGTGAGGATTCCAGAAATGCTCCCCCCAAGACAGAATCTGCACTTGGTGAAACCTATTATGTGAGTTTGGGACAGTCATACTCCCTGAGCCTGACCTACTTCACAAGGTTTCTGAGAGGAAAAAGTAGGGAAGATAAAGCAGGGAGGGTGAGTGCCACTAAGCTGTTTTAAGGTAACTGAGAAAATAAGAAATATAGACATAAAAGAAAATAATATAATAGAAATTTCATTGATTTTAATGAGTATGCTCTAAGAGGAACTAATCTGAGACCCAAATCATTTACAACAGCAGTGTCTCTCTTGAGAAGAATCTACAGTATCTCTCCACTTTTAAAATGATACAGATCAACGCTGACGTGACTTTTTAAAGGCTTCGGATTTTCAGGCAACATAATGATTGTTTCAGTGGCACTGCAGACAGAAGGAGGCCTTGCTGAACTTAGTAAGCTCAACTTGTTCTAGCTTGAAAAATCACCTTTAAAAAGTCAGGGAGGTAAGTCTGAAAGGGTCAAGAAGCAGCAGAATCGCTCAAAATAATTGTCCACGCCAAGGAGAAACAGCTTCTCCTGCTTTGCTGCTTCTGTCTATCAACATTACAAAATCACCAATGCTGATCTGGGGGACATAAAACCTGAAACTGGATAAATCAGATGTGACAGCTATTGGGAAGCAAGGAGAAGCAGATAAAAGCAAGGTGGAATTTACAGTGAGAGACCACTTAGTGCTATCATCAGCGCTGAATACCTTTAATTACAGGCATTCCACATAAAAAAATAAGAAGGTTACAACAGTTTGAGCTAAAGCAGCAGGATGATTTAAAATGTAATTAAGTTACTGGGCAACAAATTATGGCTTTAAATGCTACAGTGTGGAAAGAAACAACAGAAGTATTAAGAATCCTTGGAGCAGTTTCTAGTCAAATCTTGACAGATATGCCCCCAAAGAGCACAACCACAGACAGAACCTCATTGATCAGATATAACTTACTTCCCCACTTTGATAAGAGTTTAATAAGGAGATCTATTCTGGAAAGACAGGTGAGTCATTATTTGTCTGGCTCAAGATTGTCCAATTCTTTCTGAAAGTCTGAGAAAGCAATACATACAAGAAAGAAAAAGAAAAAAAACCCAAAATATTGGACTCTAGAGAGGTTTTATTAGCCTAACTTGAGAGCAATCGTAAAACCTAGTGAGTAATTGAAGATGCATCATGAGCAGCATCTCCCAGTTTAAAAGCTGATGGTTAGTATTCAGATGCAAAATCCTGTTAATCCTATTGGGGTAACTTTGCCTCTAGGGGGTTTGTTTCCTCTTCCCCCTTCTTTTGATTCAAGTAGCATGAGCAGCAGACAACAAACTGGTTCTCTGTATAATCAGGTCATTTGGTTGATCTTCCTGTTTTTTAAAAACCAAACTGCTTTCATTTAATGCCAAAGTGGCCCAGAGACTTTGGCTGACAAGAGGAGGGAGGCAGGCAGTACACTCTTTGAGAAAAGCTGGCTCACATGGAGACAACAAGAATGCTTGCTGCACTCAGTTCCATGATTAAAATCAGCACGAGGGGGGGAAAAAAAATCAGAGACTTGCAACTGAAGATGGAGGAGGCCATAAAGGGAAGAGGCATGTAAAAGATTTTAACTATGGTTACATTCATTTAAATGAGAAACACATTTAAAACACACTACACTTTGCAGGCTCAGTTGAGTGACAGCATCAAATCACCGTTCATGGGACCTCTTAGTTCTTGGCATAGGGCAGCGATGGTGAACCTATGGCACGCATGCCACAGCTGGCACACGGAGCCCTCTCTGCTGGCACGCGAGACATAGGTTGCCAGATTGCTACTCCCCTCCCCCCCCGCACAGCCAAACCTCAGGAAGTGGCTGCAGCCGGTGGTGGCACTTCAGCAGGGGGATCAGGAGCAACTGGTGCTGGCAGCATGCCAGGATTCCCCCTTCAGCCACCACTGGTATAGGTAAAGATAAAGGTTCCCCTTCACAATTTTTGTCGAGTCGTGTTTGACTCTAGGGGGCGGTGCTCATCCCTGTTTCCAAGCCATAGAGCCACCGTTTTGTCCGAAGACAATCTTCCGTGGGCACATGGCCAGTGCGACTTAGACACGGAACGCTGTTACCTTCCCACCAAGGTGGTCCCTATTTATCTATTCGCATTTGTATGCTTTCGAACCGCTAGGTTGGCAGGAACTGGGACAAGTGACGGGCGCTCACTCCGTCGCGTGGATTCGATCTTACGACTGCTTGGTCTTCTGACCCTGCAGCACAGGCTTCTGCAGTTTAGCCCGCAGTGCCACCACGTCCCTTAAAAACTACTGGTATAGGGGAACCTTTTCTGATCATACACACATTGTCCTGCAAATGGATCCCAGAGCCCTGAGCTGAAATCTCTCTCTCAATCAGCATAAAAGTTCCCTGTGAGTACTTAGCAACCCTCTCTTTTGAGAGAAATGCTACACGACATGGACGCAGATGCCTCCCCACCACTGCTCTGCAACTGCAATCCTAGCTAACTGACAGAGAGCCGGAAGAACTGCTGTTCTTCCATGATGTATAATGTGCAGACTTGCAAAGCTTAGTTACTTGGTTGCACAAAGCAAAGTTACTCTGTAGCCTATAATTCTGAGAGAGTCCAGTCTCCTTGGGGGATTCTGGGAGCGTAACTCTTCCAAACTCCGGTAACTGGTGGGAACTGAACTAATCTTGTTCGTTCAGACATCTCAAACAATTGGAACTCTGGAGATGCCCGGAAATGTATCATCCTATTGCTCCTTTGCTTTTGGCAGGGATTGCACCCTCCACATAATTGCAAACAAAGAAGTATGTATGAGGCCTCTGTTGTTGTTTTTTCTGATACAGCAAATCACATATTCTCTTTCGGGAATGGACAGGAACAATCAGGACATGCTGAGTGGAATGCTACGACCTTTTGCTGTGAAACAATCTAGAGGTACATAGCGCAGATGAGAAGCAATTAGGGGCCGATTTGCTCCACTTTTCAGGGGCGGGAGGGATCTGAGGCATGTATGCTGGCAGAAAACAAATAGTAGGGCTTCAGAAATAAATAATGAAATCCAAAGGAAATGAAAGAGCAAGCTGTAATATGACTTGACTTCTAAAACATCCCTGAAATTTGGAAATACTAAAACAAATGCATGAATGAAGAGCTGCACTCCATCAATAGAGATGATGGTGGTGAGAGGTGATTTGAGTGGTCGTTGGGTGATCTGATGTCGTGATACTGCCCCAATATTCCACTGCAGCACAGAGAGGTGACACTCCATCAACAGAGATACGGTGGTGAGAGGTGATTTGAGTGGTTGTTGGGTGATCTGATGTGGTGATACTGTCCCAATATTCCACTGCAGCACAGAGAGGTGAAAGAAATGGAAATAACTGTGAAGTCAAGTAAATTTTGCATTGAGGCCATCATATGCATCTCCCCAAACAGTCTGATGTGAAATACAGCTGTATCAGCCTCTACAACCTGATAAGTGAATAGAATACACCTTTGATATTATGAAGTAGAAGACAACATGATTAGTAGTTCTGAAGCATCTGTTTTCAAGTACTGGCCAGTATTCTAATAGTGTTTGCATAAGGTTTACCACAGCTAACTGCAGCTAATTGAGAAATTGCTTGGCCATGTCTTGGTTGTGTGCCTGGTTACATGACAGACTGTGCAACTGAGATGCATCCATGTACCTCATCAGTTAGCCACCATTAGCCTCAGTTTGACAAACTTTATGCAAATCACAAGGCTCATGACACAGTGATTAAACTGTAGTACAAAAAGATTATTCAGTTTTCATTTTTTTGGTGTGATGTTTCTAATTCAGATGCAACAAAGCTAGCAGCCACTGTAATTTAACACAACTTGCGTAAATTACTTAAGTTACACTATTTGTACAGCTTACACAAAAAGGTAACCAATGTGAGAACTCTTGTCAGTAGCAGATGAGAAGGGGAAAATATTGCAATTCCTCAACCTTAGGCATGAGGATGTGACAAAGGAGAAGTTACATTGCTAGATATAGGAAAAGTAGAAGCCCTAACATGAGAAGATTAAAAATTAAAGGAAGGTGTGGCCTTTAGTCTACAAGATCTAAGCAGCACAGCTAATGATGGAACGTTCCAAAGGTCATCAATTCAATTCATTATATGGTTCTTTGTAGTTATGTATTTTATTCCTTCTACTGTTCTTGAATAGTTCATTAGCTCAGTTCCTAGAACAAGAAAGAAAGCTCTAAACTATAACATTAGCACAATTAGGATGCTCAGCATTGATCCCTTATTATCAGGACTCTTTTTATTTGATAAAGTGTCTTTGTCTTTGTCTTATGCAGACTGCTGTCCACCTATTATCAGAGGAGTGTCCGGATTTAATTTCGTTGTTCTACTTAAGGAAGGCAGGGTGTGTGTGCACATCCATGCACACACAGAAACACACAAAACATAAAGCATTTATTCTGATAGGCAGATGAAATTCCATATAATGTTAATTATGTAATATGTTGATGCTGTTTGAATACAAAGAATAACTATTCTTACCTGCATTATCTTTTAGGTGTAGAGCTATCTTGGTATCATCTAGAAGAAGAAATTTAAAGTTACTAGAGCAAAATAGTTTGCACAGGAACATGATCTAATGCTTTATCAGCAATGTTGTGAGTTTACATTTACCCGTTTGTCAGAGTTTAGTCCCATACTAATAATGGACTGTACACATCAATAATCTTGGAGTAATTCTGCCTTAGATATAATTTTAAGGTTGTTGACAGTCATGATTTATTTTCCTTCAAGACTTAGGAAACTCTTAATTCTGTAAAGCCAACAGGGGATTGAAATAATTCTCTTCGTCATCATGAAATTACAGTTCAAGGGATTTCATGAAGGTAGCCATGACAGATAACGGGATTTAAAGTCAGTTTATGTTTGCAGTGCAGATGTATCTCTATATCAGCGCCTATTACAGGTACTCTCCAGTTGAGCTTCACCCAACTCACAAAAAGAGCAATAAGATTCTCTCTCCGTCAACTCCATGATATAAAAAACCTTCAGGTTCCACCACAATACAGTACTAAGAATTAAGCTACAGTCTTAAACAACTATTGCAAAATATTAGTACTGAACTGACATGGGTACCTCTTCTCCAGCAGTCTTGTCCTTCAGAAAATATCCCTCTTTTATGCCTTTTTGGGGAGAGGAGGAGGAGTAAGCAGGAGTTTCTGCTGATTATGTGTTTAGAATAAGGAACATCTATGTATTTCTAAGACAAAATATGTTCCTTCACTTGCACTCCTTTTGGTAAAGTGAGGGCAGAGAAGCAACGCTTCCTCCATTGCTGAGGCAATTTGACTCTATTCAGGTGTTAGCAGAGTATGTTGTTCAAACACACACAAAAAAGGGAAGTGGGCTGCCCTCTTCCCTTCCATTGAGGAGGCAATTTTTAAAAAAAAAACATATTTGAAGGAAAACACCTTCTAATAGCACAGGGAGTCCAGGCTTCTTGTTCATCACTTCCTCAGATTTTTGTGTAAGCAAAACAATAGGAAATGGGAGCAGGGCGGCACACTCCTCTCCTTGCTTGCTTGTTTTGTTATGTGCTGTCAATTTGGAAGTGACTTACAGCAACTATAACAGGGCTTTCAATGTAAGTTCATCACTCCTTCAGATTTTTGTGTAAGCAAAACAATAGGAAATGGGAGCAGGGCGGCACACTCCTCTCCTTGCTTGCTTGTTTTGTTATGTGCTGTCAATTTGGAAGTGACTTACAGCAACTATAACAGGGCTTTCAATGTAAGTGAGGTGTTTAAGGAGTGGTTTTACCAGTTCCACATCCCCTAGTTATTTGCATGGCTGAGTGGGAATTTGAACCCTGTTCTCTGGAGTCTTATACCATCACATTATCCACTACACTACACTGGGTCGTAGGCGTTGCTGCCTTAGTTTAAGCACCCTAGCTGGTTCATGTGCATGAATGCTCCATAATACTGTTCAGAAGACAGGGAAAAGTGCCTGACTGCCTCACAAACACAACAACATTCTTCAGTAAGCAATTTGTTTGCTCAAATTGAAAATGCTGTGTAGAAAATATGTTGAGCTACTTCACATCATGCCATCATGCTGTACATCAGAGGTCCCCAATCCAATGATCCGTGGCCCAGTGCCGGTCCGTGGCCTGAGCTGCACCGGACTGCGGAGACACAAACTCCCCCTCCTCCCTGCACAGTCTGTTTGCGCCTGTGCGTGCATGCCTGTGTCCACATGAGCGCTCCCCCACCCCTTTGCACATGTGCATGAATGCCCCTGAGTGCTGCCCCACCCTTTGTGTATGCACGCCCGCATGAGAGTGTTCTCCTTCACGCATGTGCATGAGCGCAGGGGGAGGGCTGCCTTCCCCAGCTGGTCCGCAGGGCTAAAAAGGTTGGGGACCACTGTTCTACACTATATGCTCTTATAGCTATGATGATACCATGGGGGAGAAGATAATTTGTTTTAATTGGCTTTAATCAGGGATACTTTAACATTGTTCAGGTGTAACTGTATTTTAATAATAATATTTTAATTTTAAACATATATGTGTCTTTTAGCTGTTGCATGTCACCTTGAGGCTCTTTACTAAAAGAAAGGCAGGATACAAATAAAATAAAATAAGTAAATAAATAAATAAAGGGGTTACTTACCTGTAACTCTGGTTCTTTGAGTGGTCATCTGTGAATTCACGCTAACGGGTTAATCTGCACCTGTGCAGAGGTTTCCGGAATCTTCTAAAGCTTAACACTTGTTCACCAGGAACGCCTCCCTAGTACACGTGGTCCACCCATCCTGGCTAGTTAGTGCCTCAGTTCCCAAACTACCCACCACTGAATAAAATGAAACAGACGTGACGGACAGAGGGGAGGATGGGCGGGAAGTGTGAATTCACAGATGACCACTTGAAGAATCAGAGTTATAAGTAGGTAATCTTTCTTTCTTCTTCGTGTCTCTGTGAATGCACACTAATGGGTGATCAACAAGCTTACCTGACTGGAGGAGGGACGTCACGGAAGAACAGATGACAGGACGACTCATCCAAATGTAGCATCTGACTTAGCCTGGAGGTGCAAGCAGTAATGAGAGGCAAAGGTGGATGGCGTGGACCATGTAGCAGCCCTGCAGATATCAGGGACAGGAACGTCTCTGAGGAATGATGCAGAAGTAACCACTGCCCTCATAGAATGAGCCTTAACTCCAACTGGAAGAGGCTTTTTAGCCAGCTGATATGCCAAGTGAATGGTTGAGACAAGCCACTTAAAGATGTTTTGGGAGGGGATAAAGCATCCTCTGTGTGGTAAGTGTGGAGAAACAAAAAGTCTCTTGGATTTGCAGAAAGAGGTGGTCCTTGAAACACAGAAGGCCAACGCTCGCCTAACATCTAAGAGGTGGAGAGAACGCTCCAAGTCAGTCACAAGTGATGGAAAAAAGGTAGGTAAAATTTTTATTTTATTTATTTATTTATTCGATTTATATCCCACCCATCTGGTATATTCTACAACTCAATGATGAGTTGCTAAAGGTGGAACTCAGAAACAACCTTCGGAAGAAAAGAAACATTGGGATAGAGAGTGACCTTGTCCGGGTAAAATTGAAGAAAAAGTGGGTCAACTCTGAGCGCAGCAAGTTCTGAAGCTCTGCAAGCAGAAGTAATGGCCACAAGGAAGAGGGAGGTGTTGTCTGGTGTGTCGTAGATTGGAGACCCCCTTTAAAACTGTTTTATCGTAGAGTGATGAAAGAGGGAAGAGGCTTCAGAATCAGGCGGCTGATGAGCTATTATAGTGGAGAGATAGACCTTGATGGTAGACAAGGACAAATGCTTGCTGAAGAGGTAAGGAATTGCAGCACCGTGTTAAGAGTTGTAGGTGTAGGCGCACAACAGCCATGGCCTCCTGATGGAAGGTGAGGCCTCTAGATTTATATTCACCCTGGGCTAATTGAAGAGAAGGAAGTGCTTTGTTTCATAAGAAATAGTGGTATGCACCCACAGCTGCAAGGTAGTTACAAGCACGTAATGTGAAAGATGCTAGGAAGTATACCTGACGACCAAAGATGTTGAGTTTCCTACCTTTCTTATTCAGTGTGTTAGACCGATTCTTTACTCCGTCTTGAGTTGCATCGACTATGACTGGGTTCGGGGGTGTTTAGCCCAAGACTGTTTAATCAGTTTGAGCAAAGATGCAGTAAACCCCATGCGGAGTGGGGGTGGTGCTCATCTTCAATGTCCTCGTAAACCTTATAGGACTCAGACTGTACTGGTTGCTGTACATCGAGATTCATCACTTTAGCAATACGTAGGACTAGTTGAGAATAAGACGAAAAGTCCTCTGATGGAGAGGGAAGGTTCACATCGGCGACATCAGAGTCAGGGGTAGGCAGATTAGGAGGAGACTCCGGGAGTACCGTAGAGTAAGAGGTGTCAGAATCCATTGATGGTGAGGATGCGGAATGACCTGGAGAAGATGGGGTATCAACAGTATCGACCAGTGCAGTGGTTTGTTTGGTTGATGCCTGTTTAAGAGCTTGATCCTGAATGGTAGATTTATGTGGCTTAGCTCAATTAGACCGATGAGCGTGAGTGATCTCATGAGATACTGGTGAAGGACCAGTATAGGTGGTAGTGACTTTAACTGATGATGGGCAAACCTGCGGATGGGCGGTGGGTTCGGTGTGCGGTACTGAGTGCTTGGAGGATTTATTTATTTATTTATTTATTCGATTTTTACCCCGCCCCTCTAGACAACATGTTTCAGTACGGGTGTAGAAGAAGGGGGCGAGGTATGCTTCCTTTTTCTAGAGGACTTTTGAGCTCTTGGTATCGGTATCGAGGAGTCATCTGCCGAGGAGGACTGGTCATAGTATAGTGGTTGGTATGGAAGAGGAGATTCAGAATCAGATTTCGATTTCATCGAAGATGCAATTGAGGCTCCAGGGGAAGCCAATTGAACCTGAGTAGGTGGTGCAGGTTCCATAGTTGGTATGGGACGAAGGGAACGTACCCACAAATAAGATCGTAGGCGTTGCTGCCTTAGTTTAAGCACCTGTTTTGTAAACTTTTTACAAATAGGGCAAGAAGCTGGTTGGTGAGCTTCGCCCAAACAGAAAAGGCAGGAATCGTGGCCGTTGGTGAATGGGATTTTATTGGGGTACAAAGTGCACCGTTTAAACGGTCCAAAAGAGGCCACAAAAATGTAAAATAAAGAAGGGGATTCAAGGGGGGCAGCAGAAAGAAGGAAAAAAACAAAGAATCTCACTATCTGAAGATCTCTAACGAGAAAAATTCCTTTTTGAAAACAGGAAGTGAACGCAGCTTGTCTAAGAGAAGGAACCTCAGTGGTAGCAAAAAGGAACTGAGGCACTAACCAGGATGGGTGGACCACGTGTACTAGTGGGGTGGTCCTGGCGAATGAGTGTTAAGCTGTAGAAGATTCTGGAAACCTCTGCGCAGGAGCAGATTAACCCATTAGTGTGCATTCACAGAGACCATGAAGAAGAAACATGATAATCATCATGTGCTGTCAAATCAATTCTAACTTACAGCAACCCTTTTCAGGGTTTTTTAGGCAGAGTACTGAGAAGTGGTTTACTTCTTCTGGGACACCTTGGAATTGTGCAGGTTATTCAATGCCACACAGGCTGGCTCTACTTATAGGAGGCACAGTGGGGAAATCAAACTCCCAACCTCTGGCTCCTCAGTTGGATACTTAAACCACTGAGCTATCCAGTCAGTTACAAACAGAAAAATAATGGCATGGATAGAATAGTGGGGAGAGGGGAAGAACTGCAGGTCACTGATGAAAAAAAAAGGACGCATGCCTGGAGTTTAGGTAGGGTATTTGGTATTTGCTGAAATTGTCTTTGTTGCCCAAAAAATATTCACAAGTAATATTAATCCTCAAGTATACTGTTATTGTATAGCTTCTGAATATCACCATAAGATTTTTAGGGTTTGGTTATCATTTAACACCACAACATAAGCTACTATTTCTTATTGTTCTTGCAAGTACAGTATAACTACCAATTTCAAACTCTTTCACCTTTTTCCAGATTTCTGCTACTCTTTGTCAGTTTGAGCAGCCAGGAGCTAGTGGAGCATTATTAACAGAGGTGTACTGAGAATTAAAGCTGAAGCTCCTGCACTGACAGCTCTTAAACCTTTCCCACCATATTTTTGCACAGAAAGAGAGGGTTTAAAAAAAAACACATTTCAGAGACTTCCACTTGATATTTTCTTTGACACACTGCAATGCTTAAACTTTGTGTCTTTTGAGCAGCCTAAAATCTTGTGAATCCCTTTATGACAGACCACAATGGATGTACTCAATTTCTTTCCACAATCTAGAAAGTCTTTCATTAAGTAGCATCAACAAAATCATTATTTTGACCCAGCATCCACCAAAACATTATTCTTTCCTAACAAACAGAAAGCATGGAGTTAAAGATCTGCCCCCAACTAGGCAAGAGGCTTAATAAGCATTTGCTCTCATTTAATGAACACATGAGCCATACCTGAATCCCACATGATGAGCTGTATTTGAAACCTCTCAAGTCAAATAAGTTAAAGGCATGTTTTTTAATAAAGTGGGCAAAGCTCCAGGAATAGCTCTAGCAGACTCACAGAAAGAATGGGGTTGATGTAAGTGTTGCTTGAAAGCCTACAACATTTTAAAGACACTGTTGGTACTGTGGCCCATGGTGCAAGCAGGAGTGAGAGGGTGACTTATTATTTTGGGATGACCTGCCCATCCATTGCCTGGACCAAAGTCAGCCCTTTATTATTATTTTTTTTTAATATCCAAGGACCACTTTTTCCAAATGTACACATTTTGTGTGGTGTTTTCATCCTAAAAAGATCTAGCATTATAAGCAATAGATTCTAGCATAAGTTACCTTCTGTGGGTAAACTAGTTGGAAGATGGGATGTCATGACTCCTTTTGTAGTGGTTAAAACTCTAAATCTTGTTGTCGTTTGCTGGATAGCAATGGTGGCCTTAGGAGGCATCTGAGTTGTGCTTAAACTCTTCTCACAAATCTTATCTTTAGACTACAGAGAGGAGGAAAAAAATGAAACACACAAACAAGAAAAAAAACTGGATCTCAATAAAAACCATTTATTTTTGATGCACAGACATCTAAAGCAAGTAGAAAATGTCAGCACAGATTGAATGAACATGGAACTCTTCAATCAGGAATAAAGGCAAAACAAAATACTTTCTGCCTTGACTGAAAACAAAACAAAAGAGCTCTGAGCTCTCTAAGATGGGTGGGGATATTCTGCAGTCAGAGGTGGATAGTAAGGATTTCTGAATTAGTACAGTGGTGTCTTGCTTAATGATTGCCCCGCATTACGACGAATCTGCTTTATGACAATCTTTTTGCGATTGCAAAATGATGATCTAAATGGGGGAATTTCGCTTAGCGATGATCGGCTCCCTGCTTCGGGAACCGATTTTCGCTTTATGATGATCAAAAACAACTGATCATCGGGTTTTAAAATGGCCACCGGGTGCTTAAAATGGCTCCCCGCTGTGCTTAAGGATGGATTCCTTGCTATACAGGCAGCAAAAATGGCCGCCATATGGAGGATCTTCACTGGATGGTGAGTTTTTACCCCATTGGAACACATTGAACAGGTTTCAATGCATTTCAATGGGGTTTTAAATTTTGCTTTACGATGTTTTCGCTTAACGGCGATTTTCCTGGAACGGATTATCGTCATTAAGTGAGGCACCACTGTACTCAGAAAAGTTAAATTTAGATGACAACTCTTAAAATCTCTTCGTCAGCATGGGCACTGTAGTAGCCTTGGGGGTGTAATTTAGAAGAAAATGGCTGAAATCCTGCTCTTTAGCATAAGGAAATTACTGTGTTTCCATGAAAATAAGACAGGGTCTTATATTAAATTTTGCTCATCATCATCATCATCATCATCATCATCATCATCATCATCATCATCATCATCATCATCACCTGTCATATTCTTCTGGTTGCTGCACAATAGTGGAGGGCGGGGTTTCACTTAAATAGGGCTTATTTTGGGGGTAGGGCTTATATAACGAGCATCCTGAAAAATCATGCTACGGTTTATTTTCAGGTTAGGTCTTATTTTCGGGAAAACATTTTCAGTCCATTCCTGTTTGGCAAACAAAAGGTTCCTGCCATAATTCTGGGAAGTGCACATGCACACACCAAGCCTGTGTGGGAACACAGTCCAGAGAATTATGGCAAGGAGTCTTCAATTGCCAGCAAGTAACGGACTGAAAGTTACTACCGTATTTTTCCATTTATAACACACAGACTGAAAGTTACTACCGTATTTTTCTATTTATAACACGCCCCCATTTATAAGATACCCACCCAGTTTTCTAACCCCAACATGAAGAAAACTTGCTTTGCCTCTGGGCTCAGAACGTTGGGCATTTGGTCTCTGTTGAATCTTGAGCCTACAGGCTCCACCTCCAAGGAGGTGAGTTCCAATTGATTTGTTCAGGCTCAGCTGATATCAGTTCCATAAGGCTCATGATTGGAGAAAGCTAAGTCTCCTGACTGTAGGAAAGTAAGCCTCATGGCTGAAGGAAGCCTGTTTACAGAGGCTAGGTATGTGCCATTTTGTTCTCTCTTCAGCTATCTCAGCTTACTTCCGTGTAAAAGACGCCCCTCAATTTTTAGGGTAATAATTTTAGGAAAAAGCAGTGTCTTATAGATGGAAAAATACGCTAATTTTCTTGTGCTCCAGTCATTCTCAGAGGGCATTGGCACATTTGCAGAATGTCACAGACTGAAAAATGTGAGAAGTTTCTGAAAAATATATATTCATCTTGTATCCTTGTTGGACCGGGTGGAGGGTGGGGTGGCGACTCGAACTTGAAAAGAGCTGCTAAAAGGACTGTGGCAGAAAAAGGTCAAGAATGGCTGTGCTAAGCAATAGGATTTTAGCCACTGTTTCCAGTCTCTGTTCTAAATATTCTCGGTCACAGACTGAAAAATGTGCGAAGTTTCTGAAAAATATATATTCATCTTGTATCCTTGTTTGACCGGGTGGAGGGTGGGGTGGCGACTCGAACTTGAAAAGAGCTGCTAAAAGGACTGTGGCAGAAAAAGGTCAAGAATGGCTGTGCTAAGCAATAGGATTTTAGCCACTGTTTCCAGTCTCTGTTCTAAATATTCTCAAATTCCCAGAGACTGTGGGATTGCGAATGCTTGTTTTCAGAAATAAAATAGTTATTTACATTATTACTTTATGTGCTCCAAATCTGAGATTTGACTCTACAAACATTTTCCAAGGCTTGAGGCCAGCTGACCTTAATATCTGGAAACTGTAATCAATGCATACAAAATCAATGTCAGGTTATGTTTTCGCAGTAAATAATTTAGTTTTGTTAATATGTACATTCTGTAGGTCTTCTCACAATATTTTCCTATAACATAGTTAGTAAAAATGTGTTATTTGTGTATTCCCTCCCTCCCAATCTCAAAATAAAATTCTCCACTCTGGGAGTCCCATCTGATAGACACCTAAATGTGGCTAACCTAGGAGAAAGCCCTAGCACAGGCTTAGCTCTGACTAACTTCATGTGCAAAAAGGAAACTCCCAGCAAGCACTGGGAGCAGCTGCCTTTTCCAAAAGGAAACCAGGCCTGAGCTTTACCTGTTCTGGGCCATGAGACCTTGCAGTATGGCCTTCCTCCAGGTGAGCACAACTTAGGTGTCTGGCTGGCTGGTGGAAATCCCATGATGGAGAATCCTGGGATTTGGAACCCCATTCATTCATTCATTCATTCATTCATTCATTCATTCATTCATTCATTCATTCATTCATTCATTCATTCATTCAGCCAGCCAGCCAGCCAGCCAGCCAGCCAGCCAGCCAGCCAGCCAGCCAGCCAGTCAGTCAATGAACATGCCCAGTACTTAATTAGCAAGCGAACAAATTTAAAAACCCCAATAAAAGCCATTAACCTCAAACCTCTGTGTTTTTCTGTTTGCATAAGGGATTATTCTATGCCATGGGGTGCTTCTTGTGCCAACTGCACTATCAGTTGTGCAATCGGAGAATATCAGGTGCACAACAGACTGCCCTGGAAACAGGTCCGGTTGGTTGTGCACTTACTCTTATGTAAGTATACAAAGCATAGGATTCTGACTACCATTGCTACAGCATTTTAGAAGATTAATTTACAGATAATTGTAAATTCTGCATTGGGACACCACATAGTCGATCTGTATAGTTAAAAGAACACGCTCTGCATGTGAATAATTATTCTAGGTTTAATTTAGTTCATGGAAAGAGCTGCTAGGGAAAATAAGGAGGCATATTTGTGTTGAGCATGAATTGGTCATGGGACTACTGATCACACAGAGGTTCCTGTACCAACACAAGCAAGAGACCAATTCCAGAAAATCCTGTTCAACAGTGATAATCTCTTCAGTGGGATTAAAAAAAAATCTTATTTCTAGACCAAAGTCTTAGAATGTTTTATAAATTATACTGACTGTTCACAAAGTGGTCATAAACAGAGAAAGTCCAAGAATTACCTCTTCAGGGCAGCCGTTATCAACCCAGTCTTGTCGGTGGCGGTCAAATCCACTGGAACATCTTTAAATGATGGAAGAGATTAAAAAGGCCCAGATGCAGATGAAAAATAGATTGGTTGGATAAAGAGAGGAGGGGGAGGGGGAGGGAAGAAAAATCAATTATGTCCTTCGCTGTTAAATTTGTATGATCAACCAAGTATTCACTTTAGACCTTCTGAACAAAAATGATTAATGCTTTCTATAAGGAAGTAATTTCCACAATTAGACAATCTGAGATGTCAGTATCTTTTTGCTTTGGACAGCTAATAGCTTCATTGTACTATGTAGCAGGAGATAAAGGTTTGATCCCAAGCCTGTGGATTTAAGCCAATTTAATTTATTCCACCCAGATTTTTTGCTTCATTTTGTACAAAGTCATGTTACGAAGAATGCAGTGTACCAAGTGATACTGCTTTCCTTTCATTAGTGATATCAGTGTGTCCAAAAATGCTTGAACAGGGCATGCCAGGGCTTTTGAGTCAGAAGCCATCCAAAAGATTCTCAAGGACATTGTAGAAGAAATCATTTGCATTATGTTTCCCTTCTCATCACAAAGATCTAGGCTGTTTATGAATTTTATCCTTAGTAACTTAAAATTAATGACTCCTTCAATTATTTTTTTGTTTCCATATATAAAAAGCACATTTTCTAAACAGCTGGTAGAATTGTACATTAATTATTCCCATAGAGCAATCCAACTGCACAAGGATCATCATTAATATTTTTGGGATGGCTTGAGATCTTGGAGTTGGAAAGTGCTAAAACAATGCAACTTATTAACCATACAAGTGCAAGTGTCAGGAAGATCAAGAAGGTACAGTATAATTAACAAGTATGTGCATCTGCTTTTGATAAAAGTCTGCAGTTCAAGTTGAATCCAGGACCTTCAGGTACAGCCAGGTGCTTCCCAAGGAAAAACAGGCTCTCTTCAGAAGTTACTAGAATGGGGAATTATGTCTGCAAATGTCTTTCAGTTTTGTAAAGAAAAATAAACTGATGGGCAGATTCACTGAAAATAATTACATTTTAAAGGATACCCAGGCTATGTGGCCTTGGACAAGCTTGCCAAGTCCTAGGGCACATCTAAAAAAAGGGAATGGTAAACCAAATCTGAATATTCTCTGCCTGGAAAGACTAAAAAGGGTCGCCATACATCAGAATTGACTTGACATTATTTGACGGTTCTAATTTCCTCTTATAGATCTCCAAATATCACTAAATTCCAATGCAGAGAAAAAAGGTTATAGATGTTTTTGGATTTCCAAGGGTTGCTAATAAGAGGCAAGAGCATTCAGATTTCTGGATCTCAGGTCAGGACCTGACTCATAAGGGACTGGCTCTGAATGAGTCTAAGTCAAAGTGGACCATTTTAAAAAATGCTGAATTGTGGAGTAAATTGAAACCTGTGGTTGGTTTCTGTCCCTTGTAGTCAAACTCAACCAATCTCACTATGTTGTTTAAAAACAATGTGAAAATGTAAAGTATGGGATCATTGGCAAAACTTTGCCTCAAAAAATTGAGAGAGAGATTCCAATTTTCACCACCAGAGGTGGAATCTGAAAACCACATCTCTGCCCTAAGTCTATAGCCCCTATTTTGCAACTTACTTTTAACCACAGCACACACGTCTGGCTATAAGCTTTAGAACTGTTATGTTTTCCTGAGAACCACCCACAGCTCAGTAGCACCCAGGCCGATAAAGACCTGCATGAGGCCAAAAGGTGGCTTGTAATTTTTAGTGGTCTAGTAAAATTGCCATCCACCTTTGCCTAATGAAAAATAATGCTAATGAAAAATCAAAAGGAAGTAGCAGGTAATAAGGATTACTCTGCCTCAAGAAAACTAAAAGAGCCAGTGTGGTTTAGTGGATAGAATGACAGTCTGAGACTCAGACCTTCTCAGCCATCTCTGCTAGCTGGTAATGGCAAAGGTAAAGGTAAAGGTTCCTTTTGACATTTAGTCCAGTTGTGTCCGACTCTAGAGTGCGGTGGTCATCCCTGTCTCCAAGCCGTAGAGCCAGCGTTTGTACATAGACAGTTTCCATTGTCACGTGGCCAGCGTGACTAGGGAATGCTGTTTTACCTGCCCACCGAGGTGGTACCTATTTATCTATTTGCGTTTGCATGCTTTCAAACTACTAGGTTGGCAGGAGCTGGGACAAGCGACGGGAGCTCACTCCACTGCGTGCATTTGATCTCATGACTGCTGGTCTTCTGACCTCGCAGCACAGAGGCTTCTCTGGTTTAACCCGCAGCGCCACCACGTCCCTGCTGGTAATGGCAAAAACACTCCTTAAATATCTCACATACCTTGAAAATGCTATTTAGAATAATCATAAATCAGATGTCACTTGATAACAAATAACACAGAGAAGTAAAATAAAGTCCTGGGGTCCTGCCTGTTTAACATTTTCTGCTGAGATGCACTGGTGAGCCTAGGCCATCTTATATTGAAAACCTTTATCAAGAGAAAGATAGCTTTGGCCTAAGTGAAGTTATCTGCAAAATATTTCCAAGGCATATGTCAGAGGAACATCAGTCACGGAGCATATAATCATTGTTGCATCTCCGAATTATGACTCTACGAGCTGTCATTACAATGTATTTTCTGCTTAGAACACAACATTTAATAAGCCTTTCATTTACTAGCACAGCGATAATTCCCCACCGCCACAAAAACACCATGGTAGATTTGATTAGTTATGCCATTTGGACCATCTGTCAGCACAGCCGTTTTATAACAACTTCATTCTCAAAGGATGACCCAAGTCTGCACCCAGCGAAGCAATTAACAGGCCACATTGCATTGCAGGACACATGAACAATGGCTGCATTTGGGAGGACAGAGTGCCCCCCTCCCAAGGATCCTCAGTTTCTGTGTTTATAAAGGCCACCAAAATGTGATTTCAGGAGTTGCCACAGGAAATGCTTCTGGACATAATGGTAATGGCTTGATTTGGCTAGTGGCCATGAAGAGGAGAGACAGAGAGGAGCTGTAAACATCTTGAAGTTTTCTAAGGGTCATTTGTCACTGTACATGGCATTGAGAAACAAGGTTGTGTGTTTGTTTACGAGGCTACCTGAATGTTCCCTCTTTTCTTCCTCTTTAAAAGAGGTTAAGGAAAATATGTTAGACATCGACTACAAAACACAGCCCTTTTCTTTTTAAAAAGTTTTAATGGTAAAAATGGATTCTGGGTAATTCACATACAGTTCCTGAAATAATTACTGAGAAATTAAGGGTACCAAGTACAGTACTGGAAATCCCAGGCAATTCACAAAAAGTGACTGACTAATATCTTGAAGGGGGAAGGAAGTGAGCCAAAATTATTGATTTCTTACATTTTTATCCCACAGATCTTGCAAGGGACTCTGGATGAAAAACGTGCTTCCCCTGCTCTGCAATAATCTTGTGCAGTATGTTAAATTGAGAGACAGTGACTGGTACAGTACGGAGCAGTGACCTGCATCCAGATCTTCCTTGTTTCAGTCTAATACGGTGCTTCTCAAATGGTGTGCTATCTCAGCCCCAAACCCAGCTAGAAGCACCACAGAATTCTCTCACCTTTTCCCCCTCGCTTCTCCCAAAATACCGTATTTTTCGCTCCATAAGATGCACCTCTCCATAAGAGGCACCAAAGTTTTAGGAGAAGAAAACAGGAAAATAATCTGTTTTCTTCTCCTAAAAATTTGGTGAGCCTTATGGAGAGGTCTGTCTTATGGAACACACTCTAGGACCCTTTGGAGAATCACCTTGTCCCCCCGGGGGCCAGAGGGACGAAGTCGCCATCTTCAGGGACTCTTCTGAAGCTTCCCAAGTCTCAAAAGAATCCCAGAAGGTGGCGATTTCGCTCCCTCTGGCCCCACAGGGGGGGCAGGGTGAGCCTCCAAAGGGTCCTAGGGTCTGTTCCAGGACCCTTGCGAGGCTCCCCCACCCCCCACGGGGCCAGCGGGGGCTCCCCTCGGGGGCCAGAGGGACGAAATCGCCATCTTCAGGGACTCTTCTGAAGCTTCCCAAGTCTCAAAAGAATCCCAGAAGGTGGCGATTTCGCTCCCTCTGGCCCCACAGGGGGGGCAGGGTGAGCCTCCAAAGGGTCCTAGGGTCTGTTCCAGGACCCTTGCGAGGCTCCCCCACCCCCCACGGGGCCAGCGGGGGCGAAATCACCAGCTTCCAGGACATTTTCTGAGCTTTGGACCGTACTGGGATGGATGCAGGAGAATGGGCTGAGGCTGAACCCAGACAAGACGGAAGTTCTGAGGGTGGGTGGCCCCGTGGTTGGCGGCTTGGGTGACTCTCTCACGTTTGGGGGGCAACCTTGGCCACGAAGAGTGGGGTCCGCAGCTTGGGCATACATCTGGACCCAACGCTCACCATGGAAACGCAGGTGGAATCGGTAGTCTGCACCGCCTTTTTCCACCTCTGGTGGATTGCCCAGCTGCGGCCCTCTCTCGACACGGGGGCACTCACCACCTTGGTGCACAAGCTTGTAATCTCAAGATTAGACCACTGTAACACACTCTACATGGGGCTGCCTTTGAGGCTGATGCGGAAACTTCAGGTGGTGCAGAATGCTGCGGCCAGACTCCTTACTGGGGTGAGAAAATGGCAACACATTTCTCCAACTCTGGCCGCATTTCATTGGCTTCCCATTCGTTTCCGCGGTGACTTTAAAGTTTTAATGCTTACTTACAAGGCCCTAAAAGGTTTAGGACCTCAATATTTGGCAGAACGCCTGCTTCCACCAAGGTCTACCTGGATCACCCGTGCGAGTCAGGAGGTGAGGCTGAGGAGCCCGACACCGAGAGAGGCCCAGAAGGAGAAGACACGAAACCGGGCCTTCTCGGCGGTGGCTCCTCGCCTCTGGAACAACCTCCCTCAGGAGATTCATGCAGCCCCTATGCTGAGTCTCTTTAAAACCCAATTAAAAACATAGTTATACATCCAGGCCTTCCCTCCAGCCAATTCTTGAATTCTTTCTTTAGTTTTTTCCGCTATTTTATTTTTTTCTTTATTTTATTGTGA